TTTTTTTGTGTCATTTCAATACATGAAATTTTCCCATCAAATTTTATCGAGTGAAATGAATTTATAATGTGATCATTATTATTAAGTATACCGGATACACTCGCGTTGCCACCTAAAAACATTTATTGTGCTAAACCCTAATTTCAACGACTCCCACTTTGGGCTATTTAAGAAGTTAGGCACATGGAAGGGTGCCAGGTTCCAAATTTGTAATGGAGAAGATAATCGTTCTTCAAGACGTATCAGTCTGCGATACACGATACGTGGGCATAGAATATGCTTTGGTATTTCGTCTGCCAACCCAAATACCTGCAGTCCATATATACAGAAAGTTCCATGTTTTTTTTTCAAATGGTATTTTAACTTTCATTATCCTATCAGATAGCCTTTAAAAGCTCTTTGATCGTCCCGGTGAAATTCAAGGAGTCTTTCGGAGTTGTAATGGAAGGACTCTATTTTATTGTGTAATTCTCCTAAGTAGCTCTGCAATGTATCCTTTAAATGCCCTACCTAAAGGCTTGGGACCATGCAAGTGCATTTGAGCTCCACGATTTGCGAGCCAGTCAGGCTTTTCATTGCCTTCAAAACCTTCATGTCCCGGCATCTACCACAGCGTTATTTTATTGCTAGCTTCCATGTAGTTGACATACATACGTTTATAACACGCCTAATCTCTCATAAAAATACTGGGAATTCAATGGCATGGATAAAGGCCATGTCTAAAAAAACGCGTGACCGAATTTTAAATCGAAAGCTCGAAACATATCAGGGACCAATCACCATATTCGCAACATTTGACTCCTGAACTAAAGAATAACGCTTTCTAACATGTGCGTCTTTGGGCTCGGCTTCCATTTGAAAGCAGAGTCCTCTACTGGCAAACAGATATATGATCTACAAATATCTCATCATGCCTGTTATTTTATATAACGCAGCGACGTGAACGATGTAAAACAAACATAAAGGGGCTATTGAGGTTTTCTAAGAAAACAATTAATGGTACTGTTCCCTCGAACGATATGTTCCGACGGAGATTTAAAGACGAGGTACGAAATTAAACAAAAAATTGCTACATATTAGCTAATGTATTTGAAATATATTTTACCACACAGATATGAGTTATTTGCCATCTTTTATTCGCATGTTAATTGTTATGCGGGAGAAATACTTTTTTTCGCGGAAAAGTTATTTTTCAACTTTTAAATTTATTTTGCTTAATGGAGCAATAATTTGTTTGTAAAAAATATTTGTCATCCCTTAATTGTTATGAAGTAACTTTTTTGCACAAAATTTATAAATCTTAAGTCCCTGGTTCAAAAACGTTAACGTTGTAGGTCATGCGTACTAGTTTAAGAACGAGTAGATTGAGCTAATTAGGCTCGCTTTTATTAAGATACCCATTGTAAAATTTCACAAATCATTTTAAAGTTGGCATAGTAATGATTCTGCTACTTTCGACTTGGCCACAAATACATACATATTTATATTTTGACGGCTTCCCTCTGGCTTTACTTTTTTCTGTTGTGGATTTGGCGAAATAAAATAACGTTGCTTTGGTTTTCACTAAGGGACTTAACCGTTTAGAGTTATAGTTTGTGGCAGATGCGGCTGCTCAAAAAATGCAAGGTCTGAACAAGGGCAAAAAGCCAAAAAACCGCATAAGACAGTGAACAGTGAGAGTAAACACTAATGAGTAGACCAACTTGGACGGAATATGTGTACTAAACCAGAAGAAAAACATAACGGCTTCGACAAACATCGAAATGAACACACATAAATACATATATATATACATATGTACAATCAAATCGAGGTTACAGGCAAAAGTAGAAGGACAATGTGACGCGGAATGCGCTATTCCTTAGCATTTTCTGTGGTTGTTTATTAAATCACAGCTCTTTTCCACGACAAACAATTATGTATAACGAACCAAACACCTTCAAAAAAGTGAATATGTATACCGTCGCCACAGTTACGCCAAGCACGTTGAATTGCTTCAATGTGAGATACCCAGTCACTTGTTACGCATACGCATAGCATACGCGCCCGCAGTGGAAACTGATTGTTGAATACAAAATATGTACAAGACTATACATACATATGTACATACACAACTACTCGTTTGTATTCTTGTAACCTTACATACATATATATATCTAAATTATAAGTTTTCGTTCTTAGAAGGGTATACGCATCCATCCTAAATTGCAGTAAATATGAGTATGCATGGGTGTGTTTTGGCGTTTAATTGTAATTCCGGGTACACTCCCCAGCATTCAAAATGGGAAACTCAAATCAACAGCACTCGAGCACAAACCTTCGTACACATGCATATACATATGTACATACATACATATGTATATAGATATGTATGCAGCTGTGTTCACGCATAAATACAAATGGGAATTTCATTTCTGTAATCGTACGACGTTACGCGTATTGCTTATCCTATTTGTACACACATGCAGCAGTTGGCATGATTATCTGTTGATTGTAGCGGTATTTGTTCGCAGTCTCATTCAAGTATCTGTTTTTATTCTATTCTATGTCGCTCATTTGCCGCATTAACACATCCGCATGGAGAATTTCACGGATAAGTAAAATGTAGCTGCCTCGATTTAGACACCATTTTGCCTGCAGCATGATTCTCTAAAGTGCTTTTTTGTGTGTGCCTTTAAAAAGACCAGAAGTGTGTATGGAAAATCTTGCTTATACATATGTATATAGCGTATTGTATTTTCTTCTGCTGATATGTGCTTGAGTTAATGATTCGTGTGTGTGTTTGAATTTAAATGGATTAAATTAGTTAATTTGCACGATTAACCATTAATTTACTACTGGTTGCTGGCCATAGAGGCTTCTCTTCGTTGGGGCAGAAGCCACCGCAATAAATAAAAGCTCACTTTTTCAAGTAAAACTTCTAAGCATCACTTCCGCAACAGAAATAATCACTCTTTTGTTGTAATAATTTTCACATCGCATTTTGAGTAATTTATTTCCTTTCACTTTCAATCACTGAAACGCACTTTTTTGTTTAATTTTCATTATCAATATAACTTTTCCACACTTGCACTCCTTCACCCGATTGGTCAGTCGTGATAAAAATTTTTCTGCCGTAAAGGAGAGTATGTTTTTTAGGCGACACGACGCGAATTATTCACTGTCCTGCCGCGTTGCAAGTGCCGTAAAAACGTGCGACCACATCCAGATTTCAAAACCGACTGTGGCGCCACGAACAACATTTTAATATTTCGTATCGTCGCCTGGGTAAAAGATTGTCGTAAGCGTTATACGTACGTGCGTAACATACGACAATCTTTTTCCAATGCGACGGTATGTATCAGGTGGCTTCGTAGATTCGCACGATTCGGCGAGCCGCTTTTGGCGCTCATCCCAACAAGTGTGCTACCTTTGGTTGGCCCAGTGTATTCACACAATAGCAGACGCCCAGTGCATTACATTCCACACGATTTTCGGACTTACGTACATACATATGTACAACTCCGAAAACCCCACATCCTTAAAGAGCGAAATACACAACACCAGCGGATTGACAAACCAAGCGAAATATCCCTCTGTTTGAAGGTTTGACAAGCCGTTAGAGGGAAATTTGAACAAAAATCAAAATTTTGTGATTTTCTGGCCGCCAAGTTTACGTTTGGTCAAACCGCTTTCGTTGTGAATGATAAATTCGCATCATTTGCGACGGGATTTTCACCGAGTTAGCACGTAAGAGAGGAAAATGAAAAAAACATTACGGGTATTCTCTGAGTCTTGCAAAGCCCTTGCATGGTGCACCGATTGCACGGATTGCACGGTAAAAACCGGTTTTCGTATGGGACAGCTTTGCAAACCGTGCAATCCGTGCACCGTGCAAGGGCTTTGCAAGACTCAGAGAATACCCCTACTATTTTTAACAATGTGAACCGGAAGAAAAATAAAAATTCTTTGGTTCCACGAGTGATGTTTGCAGTGGGTTTGAAGTATATTTGACAAGCTGCTTGTGTGGTGTACTTCGCTCTTTAGTCTCTCCGTTGGCAACTCACTTGTCGTTGTTATTAAGAAGATGTTTTTTATTGCTACAAAACTTGCACACATACATGCGCACACCTATAGTTGATTTGTGCTCCTTTCAATTGCTCGTCCTTATGCATGCATGAATTGTGTTGAAGCATTCGGTCGTACGCACTTGATTTCGATATTAGAGACGTCACACCTTTCTCGATTGCCACCAGTGTTGCCATTTTAGCCGTTTTCCGGCTAGATTTAGCCGGTTGCGATAGCAAACAGCCGGAGAAATTTCGATTTAGCCGGCACCCGATTTGTTAGCCGTTTTGCAGAGAAAAATTAGCTATTTTTAGCCGATTTTGCTATTTGCCTTGTTCTCTTAAATTTCAAATATGTATATGTGTCTCCATTTTTGACTAAGCGACCCAAAATCTGTTAGAAATGGCTACTAGCCTTATCGTGGAGAAAATTTTCATGTCAGGCTGGATTGTATGAAATTGGGCCGATTTCGCTTATTTTTATTTTAAACGAAGAAGGAATTTTCTTCATAAAATGTTTGTTATAAATGTCTTAATTTTAAGTGTGAAGTTTTATTCGCAAACTTAGAAAATAAGAAATTGTTTCACTGTTAAGACTCTTAAGATGCGTTTGTGTTTGGATATAGCGCCAACAAACAGAATAAATATTACATGTAGATATTGTCTTCCCAGATAGCGCATATTCAATTCTGCCTAAATTAAAAAACCTAATTTTTGCCCACTCCTAAAGGTTTAAGGTAATGGAAAAATTGATATTTTCAAGCACTATGTACACATATGTATTTTTTTAAACAAACGTTTTTGCTGAGAACTTATTCAAATTCCAAAAACCGAATGCCAACTTGAATTAAAGGAACCAACACTGAAGTGAGTCAAAATGAAAATAAAAGAGCACAAATTTCTATGTAAAGCAAAACTCTCTGGGAATCCTACGAGACATCTTCCGGCCATATGACCGGTCATCTTAATGGGAGATCTGCAGTCTTTTAGCATCATATTTTACATCAGAATTGAAGGGATTTCTGAAAAATCTGACCAGTTCTTTTGTGTAACTGTTGTGTGTGCATCCCTTGTCAACATATGGCCTCGGTTGATGTTAACTTAAGGTCGTTGTTTTACTGCCTTAAAATTGAACAGCGTTTTTTATGTGTATTGGTTTCTATTTGAGTGTATTGAGAATCGGTCAGTCTGAAAAGGACTTGTAGGGAAGATAATAGGTTTGTTCGTCGAAAATCCAGCGAGAATTATCACTCAATATAATATCAGATAGTAATAGTAATAAATAGTTTTTTCCCCCCGAGTACCTTTCAAATCATTGCAATTAACTAAATTAATTAAGTAAACAAGTATTAACTTACATTTTTCATTTTAAATCGCTCCAGTTTGTAAATTTTTAAATTTAACGAACTTGTTTATTCAAGTTATCGTCGACAAAAAATCCAACCATGTGCCACAATCATATCTTTTTCCTAATTGCAAATTCTTGCTGGCAAAATTTTTTACAGCTCGAATTTGTAACTTCTCTAGAAGAAATAGTCTTTTTACTCGCGATTTATTTAAATAAAACATGTGAAATTTAGTTGAAATATTTTAGCCGTTTTTAGCCGGTTTTATTTGCCAATTTAGCCGGTTCATCCAAAAAGTTCTGGCAACACTGATTGCCACTCTTCGTGTTCCTTCTCTTTTATGGCTGAGTTTGATTTCTCTTATCCGGCAATGCCAGACAAATTGGCGCTTCCTTGCTCGTCTTGAATTCGCTGATAAGAATTTACAGCGCTGTGTATTTTAGTTGTATATTCATGTACATATATAACTGTTGCTATTGAGAAAATAACGGCTTTGTGTGGGCTGCATTTGGTAATTTTCTCTTACACTTTTACTCTTAAACCATTCACTATTTCTGGTTAAATCAATTAAAATGTAACTTTTAGTTTTGCAATATCTTTAGGGACGATACAATCCCGTTAGTTGCGCAACGTATGTAAATGCCGTATATAGTGGTAAAAAAACAATTCCGCAAATAGCGCAAAGTAACCGCAGAACTCCACAGGCAAACACCGATGGCCTACCAACTGTCATTTTGACGAGCAATGTGATTGCAAGTTTTTGTGTGTGGGCACTTTGATGTCTTCAAATAAGCATTTGCCGCATGACGCCACCAGACAACATTCTCTCAATTTCGGTGTTTAAAAACATTTAAATCTTTAAAAAACTTGCTGAATAATTTCCTAAAACGTAATCATAAATAATCCAATAAGGAACAGACTCTTATTTTGATGTAATATAAAAATTTCATCGATGTTACCACCAGCACGCTTTCTTTCAAATTAAAATATGGCTGTCAAACTATCGAATTGCCTGCAATAGATGTCAAGCAATAAGCGCTGACATATATTGCAGCACATGAGAAATAGGCGGTCTCCATTGGAAATATATTTTGTGACATAGTTGTCACGACATCAGTGTTTTCCTGTGGAGACAGGGCCTTAAGAGGCAAATGATTATATGGGTTACAAATTTATATCTGCTGGGTTTCTTGGCATACCTCTTGGTTTGATAAAAAAGACAATATAATTACATGAATACACAATACATGAAAGGCGCGTTCAGTGAACGACAATGAACTTTTGAATGTACGTGGCATGGTGCGGTGCTCAATATGTTTTTTCTTTTGCATTGGTTGGGTTTGGTTAAGCGTGCAGCTTTACGGAGAATTCACTCGGAGGCCGCGAAGGCCCATTGCGATGCCCATGGGGGGTAACTCCAAGCCTATTCCGACATACTTTTAACCATTTTGATTTTCTGGCGAATCCTAGCAGGCGTTTCCAGAGGAGCTTACCCCAAGGTATCCAGATTCTCGAAGAAATGGTCCCGAAGAAAGTTGAGGCGTTTTCCTCGGAGTGCTGGACACTCGCAAAGGAAGTGCTGGACGGATTCTATCTCCTCCTCATCCCTGAAGCTTCTACAGAAATCGTTATGCGGGGCACCGAACCTGGCGGCCATGTGATCCGTTAGTATTCCTGTGTGGCTTTGAAAGCCTTAATAGACTCCTTGTTCTTCGTTCATCGAGCCGTCACCAGTTGGCCGTTGTGAACATACATGCTTGTCGTGGCACCTCTGCCACCATACCAGCGCGCCATAGGCGAGAACCGGTCTAACTACCGCCGTATAAATCCAGTGTATTATCTGTGGCCGCAGCTCCCAGTCTTTTCCAATCGTAGCTTTACAGGAGTAGAGCACACTGAGAACCTTTTTTCTCCGCTCTTCGGTGTTCCTTTTCCAAGAAAGCTTAGAGTCGAGATTAACCCCAAGAAACTTCTTTTGACAATTCAAAACTTGCTCTATTGGGGGACGGAGTCCGAAATTTGTATATTTTATATCGCTTGGTGAAAGCAACAAGTTTGCTTTTAGTGGGATTAACTGCTTCTTTTTTTGCCCACCCTGTCAGATCGTTGATTGCAGATTGTAGAATCTCGCTGACCGTGGAGAGGAATTTCCCCTCGACCAGAATGACTAAGTCATTCGCATAAGCAACGACTTTAGCGGCTTTCGATGTGCGGAGCAAGAATTCGTTTAGCACGAGGTTCCACAGCAGGGGAGATAACACCCACGTGTGGCTGTTTCTTCTGGTGCTCAAAATATTGTCGAGCTAGAGAGTGATCAGTGGGTCCAGTCCCACGGCCACCATGGAGCATGTAGTGGATTCAAACTTAACATTGTTTAAGACACTTTCTACGTCCAAGAAGCCTACCAGTGGTTCAATGCTTGCTTTATACTACCAACAACCTCGTGCAGGTCTGTTTCAACTTTGCGGTAGGCATGTTGCGCGTCGCTGAAGTTCTCAGGTGTAAGGCGTTGCGTGATCTGCAGACTCAGAAACCTCTCCATTGTTTTGAGAAGTAATGAGAGGTTGATGGGTCTAAAATCTTTTGCAGTACTATGCCCTGCTTTGGGAATGCAGACCACTCTTACCTCCCTCCATGGCTTTAGAATAAAGCTAAGGGGACTCGCCCTATAGATGGTCGTTAGCCAGGGGGTTACCGTGGCGCATGGCTGGAAAGATTCCATGCGGACCCGGATAAGGTTGGAAGGACCTGATAGCCCAAGGCACTTAATCCGCAGTGATGATTTTGTCACTGCCGTGTCTGTGGGTAGTAGG